TTCAGAGGAGATCCTTCCATATTCGGAGGAGCTACCTTCCATGTTCGGAGGAGCTTCTTTCAATGTTCAGATAAGCTCCTTCTATGTTCAGAGGAGCTCCTTCCATGTTCAGAGGAGATCCTTCCATATTCGGAGGAGCTACCTTCCATGTTCGAAGGAGCTTCTTTCAATGTTCAGATAAGCTCCTTCCATGTTCAGAGGAGATCCTTCCATATTTGGAGGAGCTACCTTCCATGTTCGGAGGAGCTTCTTTCAATGTTCAGATAAGCTCCTTCTATGTTCAGAGGAGCTCCTTCCATGTTCAGAGGAGATCCTTCCATATTCGGAGGAGCTACCTTCCATGTTCGGAGGAGCTTCTTTCAATGTTCAGATAAGCTCCTTCTATGTTCGGAGGAGCTCCTTCCATGTTCATCCCGACCTGAGCTCATCCTTATTCATGAACTCTGATGCGTTCTCTGGCTGGTGTAGGCCTCAAGACCAGTTGGACAAAATGGTAAATTCTTTGGTAACTTCTGCCAAAAACATAGTAATTCTGAATATTTAGCCGTTTGCCTGGAGTTTGGCTTTCATCATATTGACCATTTCCTTATAAATCATTCTTTATTATTTCCATAGCGTACAAGGCGACACTCAGTGACACAGAGTAGAGGGACAACTACAGAACATATGTGATGACCATCCAAAGAGTTTTTAAAGAAGGTAATGATGACTTTATATCTATGTGATTAGAATGAAAGCCTATTGAAGTCTCTTCATAGTCCAATACTGCCGCATGTGGTGATTCTCAACTCATTTTCACTTTAAAATACCTTAAAGTGCTTTACGTGCTTACACTCCAGTGCTCCATGCCGGCATAGCTGAATAATGGAACAGTAGAAAGGCATCATGGCACACTCATAAACCAGCATGTAAAACAACTTGTCTCACCACTAAGGACAATGACAGAGGTTTGGATACACGTCTTCTGCAAAGGATGTGTAAGCCGCACTGCCTCGCCAAGGCACCTCTTATAGTGCGGTCCTAACTCTAAACTATGAGAGTCTCCATCTTGGAGCACATGGGGGCAGAAGATATCAAATTGGGTGCAGGCCTGTCAGGAGGACGCCCCACCTCCTTAAAGGTACAGAAACACACAAGGGATCCCGCACATCCCATTGGCAGCTGAGAAACCCCATGCGTTGCTGCACCAAATCGGTAAAGCAAAACAAACGACAAACGCACTCAAACGCACACGCATTTCGTGTGCACCTTACTGTATAACTGGTAACAAATTGTTGAATGCGTTTGTCGTTTGTTTTGCTTTACCATAGCTGAATAATGGTCACACCCCTCATCACTGGAATCCCTACAAAGACTTGTAGTGCTAAGGAAGAGAAGGGGCTTGTCTGACTAGGTCTGCTAGATTATGGTCACTCGCAGCCTTCCCCTCTCAACTGTCACAGGAGAGCCAGCACAGTGCTGTGCGAGAACTCCTGTATTGGAGGTGACAGGTTCAATAAAGAGAACCTGTCACCAGGGCCGGATTTACTCTCCCTGCTGCCCCAAGGCCAGGTTCCGCAATGCGCCCCCCTCCCCCCTTTTTTTAACTTTTTTTATCACTTTTTTATTTTTATTTATTTTTTTACTTCTTTAAATTTTGTATTTTATCTTTTACTCTTTTTATTTTGTATAATTTTTTAATCTTATTGTTTATTTTTTACTTTTTAATCACCTTTTTTATTTTTTGAATCTGATTATTTATTTTTTTATTTCTTTAATTGTTTTTTTTATCAAATTTTTTTCCCACTTAACTTTATTGCTATTACACAGGACATAGCAAGCCCCTGTGTGATAGCAATTGGAAGTGACAGGTTTTCTTTATTAACCCTGTCACCTCCAATACAGGAGTTCTAGCACAGTACTGTGCTGGAACTCCTGTCACAGCTGAGAGGGGAAGACTGATCTCCCCTCTCACTGTGTACACGGAGCGCCAGGGTTACTTTTAACCCTGCCGCTCTGCTCCCTGCATCGGCGGCAGGGACTCGGGACAGGAGAGATACTCGGCAGCCGGGGTAGGACGGAGCTAGCGAGGAGAGAGGTAGGTGCGGGGAGGACGGACAGACTGCTAACTTATTACAAGTGATCTCAGTGACATTGCCAAGATCACTTGTAAACGTACAATCGGCTTCCCCACATTACATTTAGCCCTGCTTGTGCAAAGCAGAACTAAATGTAGAAGGCAACTTACCGCCCGGCACCCGGAACTGCATGTTCCGGGCGTCGGGGGATTTCACAACGCTGCCGCCCCACTGCGCCCTGCCGCCCCGAGGCCGGGCCTCAGTGTCCTTGTGGGGAATCCGGGCCTGCCTGTCACCTCCAAATGCTATCACACAAGGGCTTGTTAGCTCCTCTGTGATAGCAATAAAGTAAAATTAAGCAGTTAAGTGAAGAAAAAAAATAAAAATACAATTGATAAAAAAATTATAAAATGAAGAAAAACAAATAATTAAAATAAAAAGGTGATTAAAAAAAAGTAAAAAATAATAGGATAAAAAATGATTAAAAAAGTAAAGGGTAAAAAAATTATGAGATAAAACTAAAAAATAAGAAAGTAAAAGTTAATAAGATAAATATACATTTTAAAAAGTTAAAAAATAAATGAAAATGTTAAAAATGAAAAAGTAAAAAAAAAATAAAGTTGCCATTGGGGGGTTGGCGGGTAGAGGGGGGCGCATTGAGGAACCTGGCCTTGGGGCAGCAGAGAGAGTAAATCCAGCCCTGACTATAAACTTGCATTACAATTAAACTGAAAATGGAATGTTGGACTCCTACTTAGACCCTTCTATGCAGAAATAAGAGGGGAACCTTCAAGTCTATTAAAAAGCCAAAAGTGGGCTTTGATGTATACTCAGAGCATTTGGAAAAAAGTGCTTTTATGCTGTTATGGTATCTTAGGTTTATCTACTATTATGTGCTAAATGTGCTGAGGGCACGCTGAGCTGACGCCAACAGCACCATGTCTAAGAAGACCAGGCTCTCAATCAGGTGATCACTGTGATAGCCAATCACAGTGATCATTACCAATAATGACCACTAGATGGAGCTGTGGAGCATAGGAAATAAGTATGTATTTCTGATGCTCCTCAGCATCTAGTGGCCATAATGCAGTATTACATGCCAATACAGTCAACCAGTAAAGATGCTCCTCAGCTCCATCTAGTGATCATAATGTAGTATGACATGTCAATACATTCAACCTGCAAAGAGAATATATTAAGAACGAATGTTCAAAGACATTTTCAGGGCAAAGGGCCCTGTAAATTGCTTAGAAACAGACCAATAAGTAGTTGCAAATATATATACAGTTTTACTAACATATGCCAAATTTGCAAAACTGGGTTCAGGCATTAAGGTTTGCTTCACCCTCCATCATTAATGAGGATGTCACTGCTACTTTGGCAGGCTAATTACAGGGTTTGTAAGGGCATTTGATGCACACAAAGTGGATTTACACCTTTTGTGGCTATTGAGGGTTTTACTGTATTTAGGTGAATGTTTTTGTGCCTGCGGTTCAGTTTTCATTCGCAGGATTTGCAAGATGTTCTTTCAAGGAAAGAGAACTGAGAATAGGCAAGACATTAATAGCTTTTGCCTTCCTAGGTGCAGATGAAGTATCGCAAGGGTCGAAACGTCATTTTCTTAATCATGGGAAATGTCAGAACTCTCTGAGGTTGGAGAAGGGAAGAGATTACTTCATCTGGGGTAAAAAGGAGGATCTCTGGGGACTGCCATCTGTGTAAGTATCAAAGAATGTTGAGGTTTTTCTACCTACTATAAGCTTTGTGCTATGTATCTTCCTATTGGACCCAGCAGTGGGCTTTTTTTTTTTTAGCAACCTAGTATAAAGTAGAAATGTTAACAGAACCTGTAATTAGGCTTATGCAATTATTTAAATGTAACAACTGCAATACTCACCTCCCCCCTATGTCTGCTGTCACTTTAAATCACTACATGTACTCAGTCTTCCCAGTGATGCAGAGAGCGGTACTGATGTCATCAGGTCATAGCTCCTCTCTGCATCACTGAGGACCACCCAACACCAAGGAGGAATGGAAGATAAGGAGAACTCTGCAGCATCACATTACCATTCTGAAGTCATCCTTGGCAGGTGAGTATAACAGAAAAGCATAAAATACTCCCTGTGCTGTTATTATTATTATTGTTTTTGTTATCATTATTATTTAGTATTTATATAGCAACAAGAGTTTGTGCAGTGTTTTACAATATAAGGAGGACATTACAGTTACAATGCAATTCAAGACAAGATGGTTAGGAGGACCCTACACGTGAGATCTTACAATCTAAAAGGGAGGAGCAAGTGGTAGAAAATGTGGAAGTTGTGTTGGGATGAGTTGTTTGAGAAATGAATAGTTCAGTTGTTAGGTAGAGGTGGGATAGACATCCATGGAGAGATTAATTTTCAGGCATCCCCTAAAGGTAGACACAGTAGGAGATAGCTGGACAGGTTGGGGTAGGGGGTTTCAGAGGATTGGCGAGACTCTGAAGAAGTCCTGGAGATGAGCATGGGAGGAGCTGAGGAAGGAGCCAGAGAGCTGGAGATCTTGGGAGGAGGCTCTAAAGAAGTCCTAGAGATGAGCATGGGAGATGTCACGTACCTGGAGTGAGACCAAATGGAGGAGATGGGGTCCCTTGTGTCCTGTGTCCAACTTCCCTGGATATGAGGACAGGGGGAAGAGGACACAAGGTAGCAGTGGTGCCTGGATGGTAGGAGAGCAGGTTCAAGTGGGGTACCGGAGCAGAAGTTGGGTCGGGGACACATGCCGGGGTCAAGCCAATCAGGAGCAGCAGTACTAAATTAGGATCCAAAAGCCAGGTCAAGAATGAGCAGAGGTCAAAGCTGGGAATCAAGCGGGTACAATCAGCAGGCAGAAGAAAAGTCAAGGCATGCCGAGTTAATAAACAGGATCACAGAAACTACAGACACAGGAATAGCTGAGGATCAATCAGCAATGGATGTGTGCCACAGGTCTGCTTAAGTAGGGCTGCAAGATGTCACTTCCAATGAGACCTCTGATGCGCATGAGCATGCACATATTGTGTGTGTTTACTCTGACCCTGAGAATGGTTTTTCTGGACATGCTCATAGAGGCGCACGGCACTCTGTGCATGCGCAGGACGTCTCTTCCAGGAGGAGTTGATGAAGAAGCCAGAGAGCTGGAGGTCTTGGGAGAAGCAGAGAGGTCTATTAGGGTAATATGTTTAGTAACCTTGGCCACAGCAATTTAATTGGGGG